CTAAAATTAAGGTCAGTGTTATTTTATGGTTGATGCCAGATAATTTTAATATGTAAGTCTTCAGGGGTTATTCATGTTTTCCAGTGATTGTACTGACCTTTGCAGTGTTTCCTTTTTTCTTTGTCTTTTTTTGACACAGGATTTCATAATGCAGTTCAGGCTGGGCTTGAACTCACTTTGTATCCCAGGCTGGTCTCAAACTTGAGGCAATCTTTCTGTGTCAGCCTCCTAAGTGCTGGGATTATAGGCGTGTGCCACCATGCCCAGCTGCATATTTCTTTTTCTTTTTTTTTTTGAGACAGGGTCTCACTATGTAGTTCAGGCTGGCCTTGAGCTCACTTTATAGCCTCAGCTGGCTTCAAACTCCCAATGATCCTCTCCTGCCTCAGCCTACCAAGTGTTGGGATTGCAGGTGTGTGCCACCACACCTAGCTCGATAGATAATACATTTCTGCAGTAAGCATATTGTCTGGAACCAAATATGCTTGTCTTTTCCATATGATCAGGGGCATTGTAAGAATGGGTCTATGTCAGTCCATGTTCAAGGACTGACCTTTCCTGGACCATCCAGTTAATAAATGGAATGGGTCTGTCCTAAAGTATGTATGTGTCAATGCATGTGTCAGGTATCTGGCTTTCTACTTGGCTAAGCTCTGGATTTTAATTTTTGTCCCTTTCCCTAAAGATTGCCAAACAACAGTTTGATTTCACAGTTATATCTCTCAGGTCAGCAAATGTCTCCAGGACAAAAACCACTTTAAATCCTGGATTTATTCTCTAGATTTTAGCTTCCTAAATGTTGGCCTAATGATTCTTTTTTTTTTTTTTTTTTTTTTTTTGGAGACAGGGTCTTCCTATGTAGTGTTCAGGCTGGCCTTAAACTCCTTATGTAGCCCACACTGGCCTCAAACTCAAGGTGATCCTCCTGCCTCAGCCACCAGAGTGCTGGGATGCTGGGATTACAGGTGTGCACCACCACACCCAGCAGGCCTACTGATTCTTCACTGCATTGTTAGCTTTCCAATGCTTTAATTTTTTTTCACTTTCTCTGTGTTTTAATTTCTTTTCAATCGGAGGACTAAGGCTGGGCATGGTGGCAAATGTCTGTAATCCCAGTACTCTGGAGGCTGAGGCAGGAGGACCCCTTTGAGTTCGAGGCCAACCTGGCCTACAAAGTGAGTTCAAGGCTGCCAGTTTGAACTGCATAGTGAGACCCTGTCTCAAAAAACAAAACAAAACAAAAAAACAACAAACCAAACAACCAAACAAACGAAAAAATCCAAAGTAATCGGAGGACTGGAATCAAACAAATACCCAGTCAGGTGCCTGGATTCCCTTAACTACCTGAAGATGACATTAAGAAGAAACAACCGGCCAGGGATATAGCTCAGTAGCACAAACTCCTGCCTGGCAAGCACAAGGTACTGAGTTCGATTCCTAAAAAAGTTCAAAACAACTCCAGGGACTCGCTAGGTTTCGTGTTTCATTTCTATTTCTCCCTGCCCTCACAGAGGACAACAAACTGATTTTCCCTTGACCGCTGGACTTACGCACCCATGCCAACAGTGGGACCCTCTTTTTTAAGTTTCTTGCCCAGTGGTACTGGGAACACAAAATAGCCTATGGGCAATCTCAGCTCATGATTTATAAATTGTTCTTGGTGTTCCCTGTAGAAGCTGTTATTCCTTGGGTCTTGTTTTTTTTTTCTTTCTGAGACAGGGTCTTGTTTACTTGGGTCTTGAAGGCTCCAAATCAGCCAGAACCTAGAACTGCAAGAACAGGAAACATTTTGCAAAAGTCCTTAGAGGAGGCAGCCCTCCCGCTTTTGCTCCCTGGTTCTTGTCTGTTAAGAAGCCCTACACATATTGTTCAGCAAAGTGGTGTTTCTTAAGAATCCTAAAATAACTGAATGCTGGGCTCATAAGCTGCCTTTCCAATTACACGGAATTAGCCTACTTGTTATTTTCAGTATTTTAAAATGGAAACATTTTACTTAAACACAGAGAGAAGTGCACAAATCTTGTGTAGCTCAGTTAAGTTTCAAAAAGGGAATAAACCCAGGTAACCCCAGGCAAGTAAGAAAAAGAACCTTATTTAAACTCAGTGGCTGCTGCCCCTGCCCTTTGCAGGTGGAAAACCTATGGCATGCATGCTATTTTCTTCTAGGACAAAAGATGTTAATGCAAGAGTTGTTGTTATTATTATTATTATTATTATTATTATTATTACTATTATTATTTTGTCTTTTTGAGACAGGGTCTCACTATGCAACTCAGACTGGTCTTGAACTCACTTTGCAGCTCAGGCTGGCCTCAAACTCACAATGATCCTCCTGCCTCAGCCTCCTGAGTGCTGGGATTACAGGTATGAGCCACCATGCCCAGTTTAAGAGTTGTTTTTAAACTGAAACGTCAGTATTCGGGTTTAATTTCATTGTTGGCGCTTTGCGATAAATAAGTAGGTTTTGGGTTGCAGTTTGGACACTTGTCTCTAAAAGGTTTGCCATCCCTGTGCTAGTATGGCTATGTAACTACATAAAAGGAACCATACAACATGTCCGCTTTTGCATTTTGCTATTTTTGTTCAATACTGAGTTGTTAAGATTCTCTCATGTTGTATAGTAAGAGTTTGTTCTCACATGGCTTTCTTTGCTTTTGCTGTGGATGCTAGGGATTGAACCCAGGGTCTTGCGCCTGTGTTCTACCAATGAGCTACACCCCCAGCCCGCAAGATGCTGTTTACTCCATTCTACTGCAGGTGGGCCAGGCAGCTATTTCCAGCTTATACTTATTACAAATAATGTTGCTTTAAACATTCTTGCACTTTTTTTTTTTTTTTTTACATCCATATATCCAGGAACTGGCTTAGTGAGATATTAGGTATTATGTCCAGCTTTAGAACAAGTATATCCCCTCTCCTTCAGTACTGGTGATTGAATCCAGGTTCTTTCCTAGGCCAGGCAAGCTCTCTACCACTAAACTAAATCCCCAGCCCTTTAGAAATTTTATTTGCAGCCAGGCATGGTGGTGCACGCGGGTAATCCCAGCACTTGGGAGGTTGAGGCAGGAGGATTGTTTTGAGTTCGAGATTAGCTTGGGCTACAAAGTGAGCTCAAGGCCAGCCTAAACTACACAGTGAGACCCTGTCTCAAAAAGTGGAAAACAAAATTTTTTTATTTGGAAAACAATAAAATGAAGAAAAAAGTTTATTCTGCGACAGGGTCATGCTAAATTGCCCAGGTTGGCCATGGATTTATGATCTTTCTGCCTCAGCCTCCTGAGTAGCTGGGATTACATCATGCCCAACAATTAGCATACTTTTTATTCCTGGTTTCGAGTCACCTCTGATACCCTTGTCCTCAAAACCTTTTGATTTCCAGGGGCTAAAAAAAAAAAGCACCAGTACTGTCTTTGGATTTTTTCAGAACTCTGCAAGTTCTGATCCTGGTGCAGGGTCAGCAGTGAGAAGTACCTCACAACTCTCATTTGCCAAAGATGATTTTAAGGCATGGTGATGGTAAGATGGGTCTTGACTTTGAAATATTAATCTTGCAATTGTGAAACAAGGTATATCGCAGAAACACCAAGGACCAAGCCCTGGGAACTTTGACAGAGGATGATCGGGGAGAGAGACTGAAGGAAATGCCCGTGTAGCAGGCAAGGGGCAAGGGTCAATGGTGTCACAGGAGTTGACCGACCAGACAGATGGTGAACAGATCTCTAAATCTATTGAAATAGTGGCTACAGTGAGTTTAGTAGCAGCTGTTTCAAATAGAATGGCAGCAACATAATCCTCATTAAATTGGGAGGGACTTGAAAACAAGGCAACAGAAAAGGAATATAAACAAAATCTGCTTTGAAAGGGTGAAAAGAAACAGGGTGACAATCAAAGGCAGACTCTGGTTTAAGAAAAAGCTACTGAGGGGCCAGAGATACAGCTCAGCGGCACAAACGCCTGTCTGGCAAGCATAAGGTCCTGAGTTTGATTCCCGGTACCAAAAAAAAAGAAAAGAAAAAAGAAAAAAGAAAAAAGAAATCACACCTATAAGAAAAAGCTACTGATTTTGAAAAAGGAAATATTAGATTATGTTTGCATACAAATTTTCATCATGATTCAAAAGCGATGGTGGGGAAATGAATGGTACAGAGGAGAAAGGGATAGTTGTATCAGGGAAATTCTTCAGGACCCAAGGAGAGGAAATAAATTTAGATGGAGTAGAAAGACAGGGAGAAGCGGCAGCTACCAGTGAAGTTCGGGGACTGGGTTTAGTTGCAGAAAAATAATATAACTTTTGTCAAATCACCATTGTCAGGCCAAAGAACTGCCCTATTCTGGACATTAACTTTCCTTTCTCAAATGTGAGCGTGTGTTAACTGGGCGTGGGGGTGTATGCCTGTAACACTAGCATTCTGGGAGGCTGAGGCAAGAGGATCGCGAATTCGAGCCCAGCACTGTCAATTTAGCCACTCAGCGAGACCCTCCCTGGCTAAAAATAAAAAAATAAAGGACTGGGGATGTAGCTCAGTGCAAAGGCCCTGGGTTCAATTCTCAGTACTGCAAAACAAAACAGGCACAAATCTGAGAGCACAAGTGGACGAATTACCTCTCTCACCTTTAGCTACACACCAGCCGCTCACCTGTGAGGGAGGGCAAAGGACTAGCCACGTAACTAAAGGTCAGCTAGGCAGGAAACTTCCGCTCCACCTAGCCCATCTCCGGCCACCCAGCTGTCACCAACCTTCCGCCACTGCTTCAGCAGGGTAGGGCCTTGCAGCTTCCCGCTCCTCTACGGGTAAGAGGCGTGGCTCGAGCTGCGGGACCGGAGAGCGCCCCGGGACCCCCTGGGAGCTCCCTTTTACTTCCCCACCCCGACTGATCGCGCGAGGCTCTTTTCCCCGTGCGCGCTCTCGTACGCCCGTGCGCGCGCACGGCGGGATGCGCCTGCGCAGAGCCTCCAGGAACCCCCGTGCCCCCGTGCGGTTCTGGCGCCTGCGCTCTGCGGGTTTCAGGGCCTCCCGGCCTGAGGGAGAGGAGCAGGGAAGATGGCGGCTGTTGTGGAGAATGTAGTGAAGCTGTAAGTGGTTGTTTCTTTCTTAGGCCGGGGGTGGGAGGGTGTCTTCTAAAGGACCCGGGAGTAGGATGCGGTGCGGGAAGGAGACAAGGCGGAGAGAGGGACATGCCGGGAAGGCCATGTCGCGACTGCTACTTAGGAGGGCAAGAGAACGCTCAGGAGAAGACGTTGCGCTTCTTTGGAAACTTGTGGAGGCCCTGAGGGGGGCACACGGGAGCCCCTGATGGCAGCCTCCCTGCGGGGCCGAGCGGCCGGTGTGCGCAGGGTTTCCGGGTCCCGCGCGTGGTTTCCGGCTGCGTGCGAGAGACTCCCGGTCCTGGCTCTGCTCGCGAGCCGGCCCGGTCCGGGGAAGCCGGGCCCAGGCCCCGGGAGGCCCCTCTCCACCCGCCGCCGGCCCCCGAGCGGCCGGCCCCGCGCCCCTTCCGGGGTGCAGGACTCCGAGGCTGTTTTGTTCTGCACAGCCCGGTGACATTTAAGGGGTAGTCCCGTAGCAGGTACCCAAGAATAACAACATTCTTGGGGAGAATTGGTGGAGCAGCACAAACAGAAGGGAAGGAACTTCCGGGCAGTGGGTCTTTGGGCCATTAGCGCCCAGGCGCTGGACAGAAGTGGTCCGGAATAACCTGCAGCAACCTCTGGGTGGGCGTTCTCTGTACCGAGATGCAATTGTGCTCGTCAGACTCCGAGCGAAGTTAATAGGTGTCGGGAAGAGAACGACTGGCCCGTTAGCTGCTCCCCGTAAGTTAAGGATGTTTGGGGACTTTGATGTAGTCCAGGCTCCGTCCTCCCTGAAGAAGCCGAGTGAGTTTTGAAAAGGGCTTGTTACTGCCCAGTGGCAAATGCAGCGAGCTCCTTTCCGTGCCACCCTTAGGTTTGATGCGAGGGTAGGAAAATTGAGAGGTGTCTCGGGGTGTCTAGATCTTCAGGCAGGGCGTTTGGATTTTGATTGGATGACAAGGTAGAGGTCCGGGAGTTGTTCTAAGGGACTTACAGTTTCTCTGTCGTGGGCTGAGCCCCACTCTTCCCAGGAGCCCCTTTTTAAGGTTTAGCCCCGCCCCTCCGCCGTCCTGGAGCCCTTTTCCTCTAGAGCGTGTTCCCACTTCCATTAAGCTAAGTGCCTTCTCTTGTGGCTTTTTTTTTTTTTTTTAACTTGCTTTTTGCTCTATCTGCTGCCTCTTTCAGCCACCCATCCTCCCAACACTATTATCTTGCTGATCTGCCCACTGTAGTTTCCCTACCTCTCTCTCCAGGCTGACATTTTCCTCAATTTAGAAATGATACTGTTGATCTACGCTTTTTATAGTTATCCTTCCTTCCGGAGTCAGATGTTCTTTTGTTTCCCTGCCTTTCTCTTTGTTGACTTCTTCCATCCCATTGTAAGGGGAGATTTTGCACCGGTTTCATAGTGGCCGAAAAAGAATCAAAGCTTCTACCCTGGAAATCTTACTATACTAGGGGAATATTAGACTTGCCTAGATTTTAAAAGTTACATGTAATGAGGGTCTACGTGTTGAAAGATTTTCTTCAGGAAAATGGGTTGCCAACCGTTTTGTGTAGTGTTATAAGTGACAGGTTGTACATTTCAGTAGAGCATGACTTCTCATTTCTCTTAAAAAACTATAGAGAGAACCTGGCATGGTGGTGCATGCCTGTAATCCCAGCACTCCAGAGGCTGAGGCAGGAGGATTGTTGCGAGTTTGAGGCCAGCCTGGCCTACAAAGTGAGCTTAAGGCCAGACTGAACTGCGAAGTGAGACCCTGTCTCAAAAAGACAGAAAAAACAAAAACAAAACAAAACAAAAACCATATAGAGATTGTGAAGGTCACCAGCCACTGTTTCCTGAGTACTGCTAGTAAGAAACCAGCTTTATCCTCCTCAGTTCTAACTGCAAAGGACAGTGAGCCTTAATTACTGCATTTCTCCACAAAACTTTCTTCTAAGAAGGGCCTTGTATTCTGCCTGTACCATTCTCACCCTGGAAAGAGATGCTTTTCTGACAGTTCTCTTGATTAGAATGTGACCTAGCCTTTTGACAGCTGGAAGTATGCATTGGGGTCAGGACTACAAGCTCATCTTTTCTGACTTTCATCTGGTCCAGGGAGAAGAATTTTCCTCTTTGTAAATTCTCTGTTCCTCCCAAGTGTGATGTCAGAATTGAAAGTCTTTGAGGGGTCTTACTAGGGTAAGATACTAACATAAAACAACTGGGTGCTGATGAGTTTAGAAACTTTCTGAGTTAGATAACAAGAGCTAGAGAATGTCAACTTGAAGTTTTTTGCTATAGCAGCCTTAAGTTCCTAAGAGCTCTCCTTCTCATTCTCTCTTGCTATCTCTTCAGATCCTGCCCCCAACACATTTAAATGTTTCATTCCAGTCCTCCTACCCACAAGGCTGCTTGCCCCACCTTCTGAAATTGCACCTAAGTTATAAGAGTTGAGACAGAACATCTCTCATCCATTCCCCAAATGGTTTCCTGCCTCCTTGCTTGACTTTACAGCTTTCAGACAGTCTGGCCCTTCCTTCTGTTTGACTTCCAGTGTCAGGATCAATTCCCATCAGCAGAAACAAAGGAGCTGCTGCACTCAGCCTTGTTTATCCAATTTTCCTTTGCGTGGTGAGGACGTGGCTGCCTCCTGAAAGCTAGCACATGTGAGCCTACCCCTTTCTCCACTTTGCTCTCCAACATAAGATTCATGCCTACCTCAAATTACAGTCATTACAGCTCATTGACTGTAGTCAGGCTGTACTTGTGGTGTTGCTAACTGTGTGTGGTGTGTGTCTTTTTCATTTGCTGGAAGCATGCTAAGCTGTACAGTTGTTCTATTGTGGCTGCTCAGTGACAGCCTCCTCAGATTTTTTTGGTGGGGGTGGGGGGGAGGTTTCTGGTACCGGGAATCGAACTCACAACCTCGCGCTTGCCAGGCAGGCACTGTGCTGCTGAGCTAAATCCCCAGATCCCCCCCCTTTTAAAAAAAAATTTGCTTTTTTTGTTGTTTTTTTTTTTTGTTTTTTTTTTTTCCATTACCGGCAATCGAACTCATGACCTTGTGCTTGCCAGGCAGGCGCTGTGCTGCTGAGCTAAATCCCAGCCCCTCCTCGTCAGATTTGAGAGCAGGGTTTGTTGTTGTAACTCATGTCATGGACACAAGCCATAGAAACTCAACTCTGACCAGCTCTCGTGCTAGGATTTCTCTCTCAGAATCCTGATACATTACAGCTTACTTAGTCCGGCCCCTCCAATCTGTAGAAGAGAAATTGAGGTCTGCACAGGTCAACTAAATGTTCACGTTCTTGTGGTGATATGTCCCAAAGAGCTTCATGGGTAATGGGGAAAAAAATCACCTGTGCCCTTGTTCATTTTAAGATTGATTTTGAATTTTGGGCTGGGGTGTAGCTCAGTGGTAGAGCACAAGCCTAGCATGTAGGAGGCCCTAGGTTCTATCCTTAGCATTGATGGGGGGTGAGGGAGATTGAGTAAATATAAATAGGAATTGTTAGAGTTAGTTTAGCCTCCATTACACCCTGAAGGACAAGAATGAGATCAGGTCATTGGACATGCTTCTTGGAAGCACTTAATTCCTGCCACTGTGGATTTTCCTAGCTTGTTAAAGCAGATAAGGATTTATCCTTGTTCTGCTTTCAGACTGAGTCTTTCTGAGTTCAAGAAGATTCTTTTCTATATAAGTTGGTTGTGTAAGAATAGGGAAGGTCATTAGGTGGGGTGTAGAGCATACAGGTTTTCTGTCAGTAGTGTTGCTCACTAAAAGCTTTCCCTGGAGGCCTGTAGGGTTTTTTGTTTTTATTTTTTGGTGTTTTTGAGACAGGATTTTGCTATGTAATTCAGGCTGTCCTTGAAATCATTGTGATATATAGCCCAGGCTGGCCTCGATCTTGCCTCAGTCTCCTGAGTGCTGGGATTGCAGATGTGCACCACTTCCCCTAGTTGCGTGCAGGTTCTTAATCTCTTGGTTACACAAATGTTACCATCCTGTGCTACTTCTTGAATGGCTCTAATGTAATTTCCTAAAAACATTTTGATAAGTTCCCTAGACCTTGGGGAACTCTTCCCTATTTGTCAGAAAGGGGTAACTTGCTCAGAGTTGTGAAGACTAATATCTTAAGTAGCATGGGGCTGGGTACATGAGAAGAATGGAATGAGCATCTTTTTTTAAAACATTTATTTCTTCTCCTATTTTCTTTTTTTATAGTGGTGGCCCTCAGGCATAGGGCCTTGTGCATACTAGGCAAGCACTCTACCACTGAGCCTCTCTTTCATTTTTTGTGGGTTAAGACTTAAGTCTGCTTAGACACATTAGACACATGATGAAATCATGTATCCTGTTGGTAATATTTTTGTGAAAAAAATTTTTTTGTTGTGCTGTGGATTAAACCCAGGACCTTCACACAGAGGTCTGCGTCCAGACCTGTGTTTGTTTGTTTGTTTTGTTTTGTTTTTTTGGTTTTGGTTTTTTCCCAGTACCGGGAATCGAACTCAACCTTGCACTTGCCAGGCAGGCACTGTGCCGCTGAGCTAAATCCCCAGCCCCTGTTTGGTTGTTTGTTTTGTTCCTTTGTTTTAATTTTGAGACCAGCTCTTGCTAAGTTGCCCTGGCAGTACTTGAATTTGTGTCAGTAATTTTTTTGTAAAATGCCGTTTCTTATGACAACGTAGTGAAGGGGCTCTGTGTCCCACGAGGCAGCAGTGGAGGCAAATAGAACCAAAGAAACAGATTCCCAGTCCCCCGAGAGCTCTTGAGCAGCAGTGGGCTGGGGAGGGGGGTGGCTTAGCACCTGGTGCCCTGCCTTTTATCTTCCTCGCAGCCTTGGGGAGCAGTATTACAAAGATGCCATGGAACAGTGCCACAATTACAATGCCCGCCTCTGCGCTGAGCGCAGTGTGCGCCTGCCTTTCTTGGACTCTCAGACTGGAGTGGCTCAGAGCAACTGTTACATCTGGATGGAAAAGCGACACCGGGGTCCAGGTGAGAGTGTAGACTGGGGGAAGGAGACTCAGGAACACAAGAGGGATGAGGTACTTGAGAGGGTTCCACCGTGCACCCCACCAGTGGATGAATTGGGCTTCCCATGATTAGAAACCAGGGAGGATGAAGCAGGTAGCTTCACCTCAGCACCTTTGCTTTCTGCATCGCTGAGGCCGTTATTGGGCTTCTGGAGAACTGTGTGTTAGCCAAGACTTCTCAGCTTGTCTGTTTTTCTATCCTGCCTGGCCCTCAGACTGTCACTGTCAGCATCTCTTTCTTGCTGTAGAGCTCAGAGGGGACAAATTCAGCTAGAAAGTGGCATTGTTTTCTAGGGCTAGATTAAGACTTGACTAAGCTTCCTTCCTTAGGCTTGGCCTCTGGCCAGCTATACTCCTACCCTGCCCGGCGCTGGCGGAAAAAGCGACGTGCCCACCCACCTGAAGATCCTCGGCTTTCCTTCCCATCTATTAAACCAGGTAAGAGACACAGCCCAAACAGGGCCATGGCCTGCTAATCACCTATTGTTACCAGACCTGTGCTAGGTCCTGCAGGTACTAAAGTGAATTAGGTGTGATTCTTTCCTTCCAGGAACTCAGTCTAGTAGGAGAGACGGGTAAATAGCTAAGTTATGGTGTCACGTGAACCAGTGTGTCTTGGTGCCCAGGCAGCCAGAGAACGGAAGACAGTGGTTGACTGTGGTTGACTCTAGCACTGTGTAGAGTAAGAGCTTCAGCCTTTCTGAGCTTTGCTTTGCCTTGACCATGTTACAGACACAGACCAGACCCTGAAGAAAGAGGGACTCATCTCTCAGGATGGCAGCAGTTTAGAAGCTCTGTTGCGCACTGACCCCCTGGAAAAGCGAGGTGCCCCGGATCCCCGGGTTGATGATGACAGCCTAGGCGAGTTTCCTGTAACCAACAGTCGAGCACGGAAGGTACAAGATTGTCCCTATGGCTAGGGAAGCTTTGATGGAGACCAACCTCCTCCTTGTGGGAGGCTACCAGTTAGCAGATCTGAAGCAAATCGGTGGTCGGGCGCTTGCAGAGCGTGCGTGAGGCCCAGGTTCCCATCCCCAGCACTGCCAGTAATCATGATGACAGCAGCTGAATGATAAGCTGAGGCAGCACTGCAGCTTTGAGTTCGTTCTTGTCCTGACCAGCTTCTCTGCTGCTACTCTGTCTTTTCCTTCTAAGTACTTCCTCTTACTCATCATCTTTTGCACAAAAGTTCTTGTCACAAAAGTTTTTTGGTGCCTGGGGTTACATAGATGAAGCAGACCTGGTCCCCACCAACAGCAAGCTAACACCAAATTTAAAATAAGAGCAAAAGATACAATAAACATTTCCATGTGCTTCCTCCTTCAACCTCAGCAATCTTAGGAGGTAGGTCCTTTGGTCTCCAGTTCCCAGACAGGGAGGCTGAAGCACAAGGAGGTGGGCTTGGTGGCAGTGGCACACACCTCAGCACTTGGGGAGCCTGCAGCAGGAGGATTACAAGTTTGAGCCCAGCTTGGGCAACTTAGCCACTTAATGAGACCCAGCCTCAATGAAAAGTAAAATGCTAGAGATGTAGCTTAGTGCACAGGCCTTCCGTTCAATCCCTAGGACTGCCAGCAAAAACTTCCCACAAAGTCACACAAGCAATAAGCTCTCATTTAATGTAGGTCATGAGCATTAGAAAGGAACCACTGACACAGTATTCTACCAGGGTGACTACTGGGGCGTGGCTACTAAAGCTTCCATGGCTGCTTGGGCTGTCAGGGAAGCTTTGTGGATGCCTGGCTCTTGGTTTGGCCACTCAGTGATACTTTGAGTGGCATTCTAGTCTAAGGGAACTGCATGAAGGGACACAGGAAGGAAAGCATTGAAAGGAGCTGCAGTGAGGCAGTAGGGTAAGGAATGAGGCTGGCGTGGGCAAGGCCGGATCACAGTAGGTTCTGGGTAGCCGTGGCCAGTGCCATTTTGACGGAGCTTTTGGATGCATGCTATGTCTGTTCATTCTGACCCTCCTGTCGACTCAGCGGATCTTAGAACCAGATGACTTCTTGGATGACCTTGATGATGAGGACTATGAAGAAGACACTCCCAAGCGTCGAGGCAAAGGGAAGTCCAAGGTGAGCAGCTATTGTGCCGCCTGCAGTAGAGGGCAGGATGACAGGAAGGCCTGTGTTTTATGTCTTGTGATTGCTGCTCTCAAATGAGATCAGCAGCCACTCCCAGGAGAGTTTAATCCTTCCAGCCCAGACACCCTACTAAGGGCATCTTTTTGCTCTTGTTGGCAGGGTAAGGGTGTGGGCAGTGCCAGGAAGAAGCTGGATGCTTCCATCCTGGAGGACCGGGATAAGCCCTATGCCTGTGACAGTGAGTTCCTCATGAGTGGGTGGGTAGTCCTTGCCTTGGGCCCAGCTCCTGCTCCAGATGAGGGGGTGGTATTCTTGCCCCGAGCGGGTAAAGCAAGCCTGGGCTCTCATCCTGCCCACAGACTGTTTCCCCCAAGACCTGTGGGAAGCCCAGTCCTCAGCTCCACAGCGGGTGGGACTTGCATGCTCTGGGAGAGATGTCTGCTGTGCCCCAGGGTGGGGGTGTGGGCGGGCTCCCAGCAGGCAGGCTTGGCCTCTCCATGGGCAGCGTCCAGGTCTGCTGGTCCATCATGCCGGGGGACAGGGGGCCAGCCCTGAGGTTTTCATTGTCTGTTCTCTTTCCCTCTGCTTTGGCTCGCCTCACTTGTGTGCTTCTGCCCTGGAGCACCAGCGCTGCTGGGGTTCTGTCTTGCTTTTTTGGCTCTCCTGCTGCTGCTGTTGCCCCTGTCACAAGTGTATCAAGGCTTCCTTCTCATGACTTTTCTTTCTGTCTTTCAGATAGTTTCAAACAAAAGCATACCTCGAAAGCGCCCCAGAGAGGTAGCTCTCTCAACTTTTCAGACTTTCGGTTTTCCTATCCCTATTTCCCTCCCTTGTTTTTCCTGCCTTTCTCATCTCCTGTGATGCTAGGTTTGAATCTCTGAAATGGCATGGGGTTAGAGCCATGGAACTGTGGCTTACTCCACTCCTAACTACTGTTTGTCTCCCACAGACCCACAGACTTACTCCTAGGGCCACCAGCCTAGCGTTTGGGTGGTCCCAGAAACATCACAAGGAACTCCTTAGCAACAGATCCATTTGCTCCCCCTTTCCCAAACAAGCACTTGGTGGTCAGCTAATGTGCCCACCGTCCTGTCAGCTCCTCCTCCCTTTATTCCTTCCTGCTCACCCCCTTGCCTTTCTTAGTGTAACTGTTCAAGATGACAAGATGCTTGTGGGGCTCTGCTTTCTTACTGGTTGGGCTGGGAAGAGTATTGACGTGGGAGTGTGTTTGAATTCTTGGGGGTCAGGCTTCCCCATCTGGCTCAGTTGGTAGTGGTCCCCAGAAAAGAGCCCTACTCCTTTGTCTATTCTTCAGGGATGGGTTACATGGTACATAGGGCGTAGGATGAGCCTCCCATTTTTCTTTTTCTTTTTTTTTTTTTTTTTTTGTCTTTTTGAGACAGGGTCTCGCTATGCAGTTCAGGCTGGCCTTGAGGTCACTTTGTAGCCCAGGCTGGTCTCGAACTTATAGTGATCCTCCTGCCTCAACCTTCCGAGTGCTGGGATTACAGGTGTGCACCACCACACCCAGCAAGCCTCCCACTTTTACTAAGGATCAAATTTGAAGCCTCTTTGGTCTCCTTCCCCTTCCTGTCATAATGCCAAGCCATCGGACTTTTTTTCCTTTTTTGACCTGGAGCTCTTCAGATTGTAATTGTCCCTAGGGCAAGTGGCATTGTAATGAGGGCCCCCCAGAAGCTAACATGGAAAGAGTGGGGGCTGGGCATTTAGCTCAGTGGCACAGCACCTGCCTGGCAAGCGCAAGGTCGTGAGTTCAATTCCCGGTACGGGGGGCGGGGGAGGGGGAGGAAAGAGGAGAGCTCCGCAGAGATCCAGGCCCTGATGCTCCTGGCTGAGGGAGGGGTCATCACTAAGGGTTGTCCCAGAACAGGACTGCTCAGGGCCAAGTGATTGCCCGTGATTGCCTGTGCCTCATGAGGTGCCCCCTAGCTTTCAGGGGTGGGATGGGCCATCCTCACATCCTAACACCTTTCTCTACAATCTTCCACTCACTCAGTTTGTGGGAAACGTTACAAGAACCGACCTGGCCTCAGCTACCATTATGCCCACTCCCACCTGGCTGAGGAGGAGGGTGAGGACAAGGAAGACTCCCAGCCCCCCACCCCTGTTTCTCAGAGGTCGGAGGAACAAAAGTGTAAGCTGATGTGTCAGGGTGGGTGGGCAGCGGGAGAAGAGGCAGCCTGGGTATGAAAGCCCCTCTCTGCAGGGATGTTGGGTGACTCAGCATCGGCAAAACTCTTCTCACCCTGTAGCCAAGAAAGGTCCTGATGGATTGGCTCTGCCCAACAACTACTGTGACTTCTGCCTGGGGGACTCAAAGATCAACAAGAAGACAGGACAACCCGAGGAGCTGGTGTCCTGTTCTGACTGTGGCCGCTCAGGTACCTCCATCCTCAGGGAGAGGGCTGCCATAGCAACTGTCCTGGGGCTCACGGCCTGCTGACTCCAAGTGTGTCAGGCAAACAGCTCTTCGCTCCTCTCCTGCTTGGAGCCATAAGTTTCACTCACCTCCCCCCACAGGGCACCCATCCTGCCTCCAGTTCACCCCTGTGATGATGGCAGCTGTGAAGACCTACCGCTGGCAGTGCATCGAGTGCAAATGCTGCAACCTCTGCGGTACCTCCGAGAACGATGTGCGTGGCCTGCTGTGCCCACTCCTGGGTTGCTGCTGCTCTCCCCATGTTCCTGCCAAAGCACGCTTTCTCCTAAAAGAGAGCAAGATCCCTCATGCCCCTGTCCAGCATCCCCATCAGAACTTGGATTTGGCAAATCACATATCTTGGCCACCTATTTTAGGTCAAAGACTGTTCAAGGCTCTAAAAGTCCTAAAAACAGAGGAGGTCCTTGTTCTCATAGAATAGCAAGGACAGAAGCTTCGTATGCTATACCTTAAAGAAAACAGAGCCAGTGATATGATAGAGTAACTGGTTATTGATTGAGATTATGGTCAGAGATGGCTTTTCTGAGGAGGCTAGCTTGTTGTAGGAATTTGGATGATACCAAGGAGCCAGAGCCAGCAGGTTTAGAGATAGAGCATTCCTGAGAAAGGAGCAGCCAAGGCAGAGCCTTCAGGTGGGAGCCTGGTATATTGAGAAGGCCACTGTGGCTGGCTGGAGCCTTCCTTTTTGCAGAACATAGGAGGGGATGGACCAGAGAGATGGGCACAACCAGGTCTGTGAGGCCTTGGATTCTTTCAGCAGGTAGGGGACCTAGTGATTGAACCTGGGACCTTTCACATGCCGGGCAGCTACTCTACCATTGAGTTGCACCCAAGCCTTGGATTCTTGCTATTGGAGGCTTTTAATGAAGTGAGTGATATGTTGTGTCTCACATTCTATTTATTTATATTTACTTTTTATTATTTTGTAATGCTTGGAATCCAACACAGAGCCTTGAACATTCTAGGCTAGTCATGGCAAACCTTTTAGAGGTTTCAATGATGCAAAGAGCCCACTGCAGCACGTGTGCTGTAGGTTTGCCACCAATGTTCTAGGTAAGTGCTCTGCCACTGAGCTACAGCTCAGCCCTTCTTATTGTACTTTGTTTTGTTTTGTTTTGTTTTTTTGTCTTTTTGAGACAGGGCCTCATTATGCAGTTCAGGCTGGCCCAGGCTGGCCTCGAACTCACAAGGATCCTCCTGCCTCAGCTTCCCAAGTGCTGGAATTACAGGCATGCGCCACCACACCCAGCTTATTGTACTTTTTTTTTTTTGGTTTTTCTCCGGTACCGGGAACCGAACTCACGACCTTGCACTTGCCAGGCAGGCGCTTTTGCCGCTGAGCTAAATCCCCAGCCCAGCTTATTGTGCTTTGAAATAGGTCTCACCAAATTGCCCAGGCTGCCCTTAAATTTGTACATCTCCTGCCTCAGCCTCCCAAGTGAGTGGGATTATAGGCATGTGCCACCATGCCCATATTATCTTTCTTTTGGTAGCAGGAATCAGACTCAGGACCTTGTGCTTGTTAGGCAGGTGCTTGTGCCACTGAGCTACATCCCAGGCCCCATATTATCTCACATTTTAAAAAAAAATAACTGGCTGCCAGGCATTGTGGCATAGCTTTGTAATCCCAGCACTCAGGAGGCTGAGGCAGGAGGATCCTTGTGAGTTGAAGGCCAGCCTGGGCTCCAAAGTGAGTTTAAGACAAGCCTACCAGCCTGAGCTGCATGGCAAAACCCTGTCTCAAAAAGATAAAAACAAACAAACAAATAAACAAAAAACCCGCTGTGCTGCGGAGAAGGAATTGTAGGGGAAGAGTAGAGGCATGTGATCAGTCTGGGAGCTCTGGCAGGATTAAGGTGAAAGGATGACCATGTCTTAGTCTAGAGTGGAGGTAGACAACCATTATTTCCTGCCCAAAGATTGTGGAATCTATTTTTACTTGCCACCTCTCCTTCTTAGTAGCAGCAGTTCCCAGAAGCCCTCTTCCTGTCCTCCCAACCCCAGGTGGCTTCACTGTGGCACATAAATCATTGAACCCCCTTTCTCTTGTTTACCTTCTATAGGACCAGCTGCTCTTCTGTGATGACTGTGATCGTGGCTACCACATGTACTGTCTTACCCCATCCATGTCTGAGCCCCCTGAAGGTAAATGGGCAAGAACTTTTTATTTATTTTTCAGACAGGGTCTCACTGTGCAGTTCAGTGCTACTCACTGTGTAGTGGAGGCTGGCCTCGAACTATTGGCAATTCTCTTGCCTCAGCCTCCTGAGTGCTAGGATTACAGTCATGTGCCACCACACCCAGCCAAGTGGGCAAGATCTTTTACTCAGAAAAATTTATCTGTCTCTCTGTCTGTTTATTTATCTATTTATTTATTGGCTTTTTGAGACGGGGTCTTGCTCTGCAGTACAGTCTGGCCTTGAACTCACTATGTAACCTAGGCTGACCTCAAACTCTCAGTGATCCTCCTGCCTCAGTCTTGCATATGCTGGCATTATAAGGCATTTGCCACCAGCTGTCAGAACAATTATTTTATTAGTAATTTAGAAAATCACCTGCACAGTAAATACTGAGTTCTTTCTTTTTTGTTTTTTGTTTTTTTTAGTTTTTTGATTTTTTTTTCCAGTACCAGGAATCGAACTCACGACCTTGCACTTGCCAGGCAGGTGCTGTGCTGCTGAGCTAAATCCCTAGCCCCAATACTGAGTTCTATGTTCTCTATATTATCAGCTGTTTATTCTTCCAAATTAAAGAGTAAGGCACCTTGCCTTGAGTCAGTTCAGAATGCTTTCCTAGCATTTCAGCCTATGGGGTTTTTTGGGATTTTTTTTTTTTTTTTTTTTTTTTTTTTTTTTTTTTGAGACAGGGTCTTGCTATGCAGTTCAGGGTGGCCTTGAGCTGACTTTGTAGCCCAGGCTGGCCTCGAACTCACAAGGATCCTCCTACCTCATCCTCCGAAGTGCTGGGATTACAGGCATGCGCCACCACACCTGGCATTTTTTTTTTCTTTTTTATTTTTTTTTGGTACTGAGAATTGAACTCAGGACCTTGTGCTTGTCAGGCAGGTGCTTGTGCCACTGAGCTATATCCCCAGCCCCAGCCTACAGGGTTTAACATTTTACACACTATCATCAGATACATTTGCAAACACAGAAAATCAGTAGCCTATGAAAAAACATGTTGAGCAGAAAATAGTCACCCACCCAGAAAGAGAGTTTTGTCTTCCTTCATCCAGTCTAGAAACTTAAGTTGGTCACCTCTCTGATGGGAGGCTTCTGTAACTTGAGAGATTTGAGAGTTCATTGACCCCCAGAGGCTGAGTGCATCTCTCTGCATCGCCAGTAGTTTAATAATGCTTCAAAATCACCGTGAAACCAGAAAGTGGTTGTTTCTCCAACTCCTCCTTTAGCTGGACTCTGTGCCTAAACCCGTCTTGTGTAGAATCCAGGCCTAGGCAGCCAGGTTTGGTGGTGCACACCTATAATCCTGTCACTCCTGAGGCTGGGGCTAGAGGATCACTGTGAGTTTGAGGCTAGCCTGGGCTATATTGTGAAATTTTTTCTTAAAAAAAAAAAGAGAGAAGAGAAAGGAAATCCAGGACCTTGCTAAAAGGGACAAAAATGTGCCATATCTATTGTAGAAGATGTGGGCCAGCATTCCAGGAGAGAAAATAATTTGCTGTGTTCTGGAAGTTGGCTTGTAATATAGGTCACACTCCAGTCACCCTCTAGAAAATGAGGCCACTAACAAAGTCTGAAAGTTCTTTAGTAGCTAAAGGGGAGCACTCAGCCATGCCCAGTTTATAAACTGTATTTGGGAAAGAGCTGAGTAATCATCAGATAATTGGCTTACAGATGAAATCTAGAGTAACTGCAAAAGGTCCTTTGGTTCTGTTGGACACCAAAGTTGTGGATAGCTGCAGGCCTATGGGTGACACCAGATGGTCTGAGGCTCTGTGTCAGGGTCTGCAAACTGGGGCCTGTGGGCCAAATCTAGCTGCAGCTAGTCTACGTAGCTTGTGAGCCATGAGTGGGTTTTACTTTTTTTGTATGTTTGGTTTTTTGAGACAAGGTTTCCCTATATAGTTCAGATTGGCCTTGAACTCACTATGTAGCCCAGGATGGCCTTGAACTCAGAGTAATCCTCCTGCCTTCCTCCTGAGTGCTGGGATTACAGGCATGCACCACAACACCCAATTTGGGTTTTACATTTTTAAAGAGAGTTAAAAAGAAAAGCTGGGCTGAATGACATATTTATAATCCCAGCACTCTGGGAAACTGAGGTAAGAGGATTGATTGCAAGTTGAGTCCAGCCTGAGCAATTTAGTAAGACCTTGTTTCAAAACAAAAAGGGCCGGGTGTAGTGGTACATGCCTGTAATCCCAGCACCCGGCGGGGGGCGGGCAGACACAACACTGAGGCAGGAGAATTGCTTGCCTCAAAAAGACAAAATAAAAATTTAAATTTATTATTATTACTTTTTTACTTTAAATGTATTTATTTGTTATTATTATTGGGTTTTTGTAATGTATGTGGTGCTGGGGATCAAACCCAGGAACTTGTGCATGCAAGGCAAGAGCTCTACCACTGAGCCACATCCCCAGCCCCTAAAAATTTAAATTTAAAAAAATAAAATACTGGAAAAGTCAATCCTCAGTATCCCCTCCCCCCCAAAAAAAATTGTGAGTGAAACTACCTCGCAAAGCTTAAAATATTTAACACTTTGTCTTACTCTTCATAGAAAAACTGGTCTGCCCCTGCTCATTAACCTTGGAGTTAGAAAGGATCGTCCTCTTCCTTTTTTTGCGGGGGGAGTAGGGTGGGAGGGATTGAACCCCAGGACATTACACTTGCTAGGCAAGTGCTTTCTCACTGAGCTGCATCCCCATTCTTTCTCTTACATTTTAAAATCACATAAAGTCCTGGAAGAGCTGATAAAAGCTCTGGTGATATGGTTATTTTTCTCAAAAAGGACAACTATTTCCTGTTTTTTCTTTGAAATTAGGTGGAGGAAATAATAGATTTGTTCATCACAGTTCTCTCCTTTTCCTCTGACTGTGTCCTGGCCCTCGCTCAGGCATGGAGTGATGTGGCAACCTGGCTCCCGTTGCAGTGTTTCATGGAAAGCACCAACTATGTCAAATTAGAATTGGCTTCTCTGGGGCTCCTGGTCTACCTTTGGGGCCTGATGAGCAAGTGTGATTCTTCTGTAATCACAAGTCCAAAGCTGGAGCACTTCAGTAACTTGTATCTATCTGCCCAAGCCCTCCTGAAGCCCAGAGATGCTGATTCAACAGGACCAAGGGGGCCTGGGTATCTGTGCTCTGCATTTGTCCCTCAATTGATCAAGCCTTTCATCTCCGTGAAGAGTGACCTTTCACCGTGTTTGAAGGGGAAAGGTCCCTCCCAGCTCAGGACAGCCTTGAAGTTGCTGCACAAAGCCTCTATCTTACTTGCCGGAGACAAAGTATGAGAGTGGATGGGCCATAGATGGGACTGTGTAGAGTCCACCCTGACCTCGTTATGCTTCTTTGCAGGAAGTTGGAGCTGCCACCTATGTCTGGACCTGTTGAAGGAGAAAGCCTCCATCTACCAGAACCAGAACTCCTCCTGATGTGCCGCTCCTAGCTCCCCACACACCTAAGGGTGTCTCTCTCCTTCACTTTGTTTTTTCATATCCACTCTTACCTTCTTCCTTTCTTTCACAAGTCCAGAACTTTGGGGTGGTCATGCCAACCTGCCATTGGCAACAGCAAGCAGAGGTAGCAGCTCTGACCGCCTCTGGCCCCAGGTCCTCAGGGAGAAAGGAGTGGCTCCCTGCCCCAAGGTATTCCTGTGGGCCCAGCTTCTCTCTGCTGTCTGTGAAGTGCATTCACTCTGCTTGCCTTGGGCCCAGGCCCTGGTGATCACAGGGTTCAAACCATGTCCTCTGAGAAAGAGTGGGAGAGCAGCTCACTCATCTCGGCCTGGCCTCCAGTCTGGTCTCCAGGGTTCTCCTTCCCCCAGAGCTGAGCCAGGCTGGGCCTCCACCAGGAGCAGCTGGGAGTGAGCAGGCTGGGGCCATGCTCTCCAGCAGCTTTCCATGCCCTTTGTGCTGCTTCACCTTGCCACCTCCCTCCAGGGTGGCCCTCTGTGCCCTCTGTCCTGCCACTCTGAGTCCTTTGAGCCAGGACTCTCTCCTGGCTCTTCCCTGTCACACCCCTCCCAGGGGAGTAGCACCTGCACCTGTCCTGTGCTTGCCTGGCACCCTCATGGGCAGTCTCTAGTACCCCAAGCACTCACTCCTTCAGGATTCCTGTCTTCTGCCTCCCTCCCGTTCCCTTTGTTTTGTGAGGAGAGGGGATGCCTTGGGGCTAGGCCAGCAGCTTGGGGGCCATGGGGAGCCGTTGGATAATGTGCCTGTTTTTTAACTCGACAAAAAAGCCTACCTCCAAAATCCCCTTTTTGTTCTTCCTGGACCTGGGCATTCAGCCTCCTGCCCTTAACTGAATTGGGAACGTCTGCCTCCTGCTTGTGTCTCCTGGCCCCCTTGTCACAGGGGAGCCACATAAACATTCACTTCTCTGCACACACTCTAGCAGCTGGTAAGATCTTCATGTCCTGATTCATTGGATTTCTGCTCAGCACCACCAACATTAAGTAGGAAGGGGAGAGTCTGTGCCAGGACACCACCAAGTGGCCTTCCCCCTTGGCTGTGGGCAGGCGCTAACTCACTGTCATTTTGGAGTTGAGGTCTTTTTCCCCTCTTTAGTTCCTGTACTCTATAAACATTAGTAAAAAATAAACATTTTTACAGAGCCCTCTGCTGGATGGTTTGTCTCCTGACTCTCCTGGTCAAGAACTTTGTTCCTTAGGGCAGTAGGGGTTTTTTGTTTTTGGGGTTTTTTTTTTGGTTTTGAGACAGAGTCTCACTGTGTAGTTAGTATGGTCTTGAACTCACTGTGTAGCCCAGGCTGGCCTTAAACCCAAAACGAGAAAAAAAAAAAGTCAAAACGATCTTCTTGCCTCTCCCTCACCAGTGCTGGGATTACAAGTGTGTGCCACCACTCCTGGCAGGACAGTGGGTTTTTTTTGCTGGGCGTGGTGGCACATGCCTGTTATCCCAGCACTTGGGAGGCTGAAGTAGGAGGATCATTGCGAGTTTGAGGCCAGCCTGGGGTACAAAGTGAGCTCAAGGCCAGCCTGAACTGCATAGCGAGGCCCTGTCTCAAAAAGACATACATACATACATACATACATACATACATACATACATACATACAGCCTTGGGCTGAGGATATAGCTCAGCAGCACAACACTTGCCTGGCAAGCTCAAGGTTGTGAGTTCAGTTCCCAGTAAAAAGAAAAAAAATAGCCTTTCTCCTTCCAAAATCAAACTTTCTTTGAACTAAGATATAAAGTAGATATAAAGTTGGTTATTTTGTTTTAACTTATTAAATACAAGTTTAGAACAGTTTATAAAGAACAATGAAGCTGTTTTGAACAAAACAATTTGAGTTAAAGTCAACTTTAGCATTCTGTTTTTTTAAGAAAAAATTTTAAAACATAATAGGGTAACTGGTTAATACATTGCATATTGTTATCTTTAAATTACTCAGAGTATAAGATATAGGCATTTAATTGTCCAAATAATATTAGCACAAAAATTTTCCATGAACTAAATTACTATAACTATCTTGTATATACATATGTATTTTTTTCTTTTCCCTTCTTTTCTCCTTGTCCCATCCCAGTTTCCTTTTGAACACTTTCATCCCATTTTACAATATCTATTGTACATTTTGGATATTACTTTTTCAGCTTCTCATACTAGGGAGACAAGATGTTTGCACGTGTGTGTCCGGTTAATTTCACTTGTGAGTACGGTCTCGAGTTGCATCCATTTACCTATAAAAGTCTCCTGTTTATCCTTTATGGCTAAGTCATACTCTGCTGTATAAAAAGACCACATCTTTTTTATCCATTCCTTGGTTGATGGGCATTTGGGTTGTTTCCAACATCTAGCTATTGAAAATTTGTGTTGCTATAAACATAGGTGCACATAAATCACTGTGGAACATTTTTAATTCTGGGAAGATACCTGGCAGGGGAATAGCTGGGTAGATGGGACCTCCTCCAATCCTGGTTTTTAAAGGAATCTCCACACTGATTTCCACAGTGGTTGCACTGGTCTACACTCCCACCAATGGGGGAAGTCGTCTTTTTTTCCCTACATCCCCGCCAGCATTTGCTACTGGTTGATTTGTTGATGGTAGCTGTTCTTTGTGGGGTGAGATGGAATCTCAGTTTTAATTTGCATCTCTCAAATGACCAGTTTGAGAGATACTTAATATAGTGTATTCATCTCAAATGCCCATTTTTGGATTGGGTCTTTAAATTTGGGAGATCTGGTATTTTTGAGTCCTTTACATGTTCTCAATAGTAATCTTATGTCAGGAACAGCTGGCAGAGGTTTTTTTCCACATTGTTGGTTGTCTTCACTCTTGGTGGTTTCTCTTGCTGTGCAAAAGCTTTTTAATAAAGTGAGAGCCCAGTTGATTCTTTGTGATATTTCCTGTGTGATTGGGGTTTTATTCATAAAGTCTTTGCCTACAGTAAGAGTTTTACCTATTCTACCTTCTAGCAGATTTAATGTTTCTGTTTTAATATTGAGACCTTTGACCCATTTTGAATTTAGTGCATGGTGAAAGATACAGGTCTGATTTTAATCTTCAGCATGTGCAAAGCCAGTTTTTCCAGCACCATTTATTAAAGAGGCTTTCTTCCAGTGAACAACAGGGTCTCACTATGCAGTTCAGGCTGGCCTTCAACTCACTGTGTAGCCCAGGCTGGCCTCAAACTCAAAGCAATCCTCCTGCCTCAGCCTCCTTAGTGTTGGGTTTACAGACTTGCACCACCATGCCTGGCTGGGTGAATGTGTTTGGCACCTTTGTCATAGATAAGATGGCTGAGTATGTCTGGAGTTGTTTCTGCGTCTTCTAATCTGTTCCACTGGGAAAAAAAAATTTTTTTTTGCCAATACCATGCTGTTTTTATCACAGTAGCTTTATAGTATGATTTCAAGTCAGGGATTGTGATGCCCCCCTGCCTTGCTTCTGTTGCTCAGAGTTGCCTTCACTATTCTAGATCTCGTTTGGTTCCAAATGAATTTTAGGATTGTTTTTTCTAATACTGTGAGATAGGCTGTTGGAATTTTGATCAAAATTGCATTAAATCTATATAACAGTTTTGGAAGTATAGCCATTTTCACTATGTTGGTTTTTCCTACTCAAGAGTAAGGGATATCTTTCCTTTTTTTTTTGGTCTTTTTGAGACAGGGTCTCGCCATGCAGTTCAGGCTGGCTTTGAGCTCACTTTGTAGCTCAGGCTGGCCTCAAACTTGCAACGATCCTCCTACTTCAGCCTCCTGAGTGCTGGGATTACAGGCATGTGCCACCATGCCAAGCTTCTTTCCATTTTCTGATATCCTCTTCAATCTTATTTTTTTTCAGAGTACTGTAGTTTTCAATGTAGTCATCTTCCTTTGTTAGATTGATTCCTAAGTATTTCATTTTTTTGGATGCTGTTGTGAAAGGTGTTGTTCCCCTAATTTTCCTGTGTACAGGAATGCTATTGAGTTTTGAGTGTTGACTTTGTATCCAGCTACAATACTGAATTTGCTTATTAAATCTAGCATTTTTAGTGGAGTTTTTGGGGTCTTCTATGTAAGTATCATGTCATCTTCAAATAATGATAATCTAACTTCTTCCTTTCCTATCGTTATCCCTTTTCTTTCTTTCTCTTGTCTAATTGCTCTGGGTAAAGTTTCCAGAACTATGTTGAATATGAGTGAAGACAGTGGCCATCCTTGTCTTGTTCCTGATTTTACAGTGAAAGCTTTCAGTTTTTGTCCATTTAGTATGATCCTGACTATTGGTTTGTCATAGATGTTTTTTATCAGATTGAGATAAAGACCATCTATTACAATTTTCTTTCTTTCCCCTTTTTTTTTTTTTTT